AAGTGTTAATTTTACCATACTAGAATAATACTGCCTAATAATATGGTTAGTATCTTCAATTGTCAAGGGGAAAATCATCTAGTTATTCAGTATTATTAATTGGTAACTATTTGATGGTCATTTTAGATAAATGCAAATATTTGTTTTTAGTGTGAACATGTTCCAAATATTTCCTAGTTATGCTTATACTAATACTCAAATTTAACTGGACTTCATGTATTTTTTTTTGTGAATCTAGCAACCCTGTCCATGACCCTATATATGGTCATATAACTCTTCAGTTTTTCCCCAAAAACATCATTTTTACTGAGATATAGTTTATATACTATAAAATTCATTTTTAAAAGTGTAATTCAGTGGTTTTTGTTATGTTTTTAGAGTTTGCATGTCATCACTAGTATCTAATTTCAGGACATTTTTATAATCCTTAAACCTCTTATCCATTAGCAGTCACTCCTCATTCCTATTTTCCCAGCTCCCCTATATACTTGGATGCTGATTAGTAATTATATAACTAAGGACAGGCAGAATACTTCCTCTAATCTTCAAGTTACTCTTCTGTAAAATGGGGCCAATACCGATTTCAGAGTTTATTGCAGGAATATCAGAAATACTATATGTAAAATGCTTAGCAAAGCACCTTGCACAGTAAATGCCAAATAAAGAGTCATTATTAGGACCTCTACTTTTGGCCAATATAGAGTTAAGAACTGAATTAACCCTCCTACCTGAAACAACTAAACAACGAACAGTGGTTTTCTAGTTACTGTACATCAGTCATTGAAAGATGGTGATCCCTGAGAGATGAAGAACACACAAGAGGATGCCTATGGTTGCCCCAATTTATTGCTTTGAAAGAGTTTCCAGTCATGGTGCAGGAAGGGGGAACCCTAATGGAGCCTGGTAGTTTCCCTGAATTGGTGAGATATTGCTAAGAGTCCCGGGAGGCCAAGATCATAGATTCTCAATATAGTGCACCAGAGACTTGGGAGCTGCAGAGAGAGAGAATCCTGGAGATCTGTAGAGGAGACATGAGAACAAAGAAAGAACTATCATCAGATCAGAAAGGCAAGAGTAAAACTATCTTTTATTCAAAAGTGACATGATTGTCTATGTTGAAAAACTAAAGGGTTTTATTTTATTTTTTTAAAAAGAACTAATAAATGATTTTAACAAGGTTACAGGATATTAGACCAATATACAAAAGTCAGTTGCACTTCTATATACTAGCAACAATGAATCGATCACTTAAAAAAATCCAAAAGTATATACTACTGACATTCAATAAGCAAGACTTGTACTCTGAAAAGTAGAAAATATTGCTGAGAGTAAAGACCTAAATAAATGGAGAATTAAATTAAACCATTTTCTTGTGCTAGAATACTTACCATCATTTAAAATGTCAGTTCTCTCCAGATTTGTCCATAGACTCGATGTAATCTGCATCAGTATCCCAGCAGGGTTTTCTTTTGGTAGACATTAACAAGATAAATTCACATGAAAATGCATAGCACTTATGAGCAAAATAATTTTGAAAAAGAAAAAGTTGGAGGAATGTTACTACCTATATCAAGACTTACTAAAACTACAATAATCAGTAGGGATCTTGTGACCATTCCCACACATGTGGAGACAACTTATTTTTGACAAAGGTGCAAAGATGTGAAGTGGAGAAAGGTTAGTCTTTTCAACAAATTAACTCAAATTAGATCGTAGACTTAAATGTAGAACCTACAACTATAAAGTTATAAGAGCACCAGAAGAAACCTTTGTGACTTGGGTTAGGGACAGACATTCAAAATGTGACACCAAGGTTGGACACAGTTGTAATTCCAGTACTTTGGGAGGCTAAGGTGGGAGGATCGATTGAATCCAGGAGTTCAAGACCAGACCGGGAAACATAGGGAGACTAAGCAAAAAATAATTAGCCAGGCCTGGTGGTGCATGTCTGTAGTCCCAGCTGCTTGGGAGGCTGAGGTGGGAGGATTGCTTGAGCCTGGGAGGTCAAGGTTGCAGTGAGTCATGATCACGCCACTGCACTCCAACCTGGGAAACAGAGCAAACCCCATCTCAAAAAGAAAAAAAAGTTTTTTCGTTTTTGCTTTGCAAAATTTTCTATTCCAAAGTCCATTAAAGAAAAATTGATAAAGTAGATTTCATCAAAATGAAACACATCTGCTCTTTGAACAAAACCATTAAGAGAATGAAAAGACACAAGTTGTATGTCTTATGTCCACGATACCTTTAAAGAACTAACTCCCTGCAGTCAGTGAATAGAGGAATTAAATTTCTCATATTTCATACATTGCTGTTGGTACAACTTCTCTGGGAAATAATTTTGCATTTACTTAAAATATTAATATGTACTTACCATAGAACCCAGCAATTTCAGTCCTGGGCAGATTGTTCATATTATAAAATTCACGTTGTTAAGGATGATGTCCAGAATTACTCAATGGTTTTTTCCCTGTGGTTACCATAACAAATTGCTATGAACCTGGGAGCCTAAAATATCGAAATTTTATTCTCTTACAGTTTTGGAGGGCAAAAATATAAAATCAAAATATAAGCAAGGCTGCACTTCCTTTGGAAATTCTGAGGAAGAATTTGTTCTTTGCCTTTTCTAGCCTCTGGTGGCCTTTAGCATTCTTTTGAGTTATAGCCACATCACTCAGTCTCTGTCTCTCTGATTGTATTACATCCTCCTCATTTCTGAGTCTGCTCCTCTTCTGTATTTCTTGTAAACATACATGTGATTGTTTTAAGTACCAACCTGGATAACCCAGGATAAGCCCCTTCTTTTAGGATCTATAACCTAATCATTTACTTTGCCAAAGAGTAACTCTTTGATCTTTTGAGGGATGTGGACATGTCTTTTGGGGGCTATAATTCACTTCTCTGTATTCCATCCTCTGCCCCCCAGTATTCATGTTCATGCCATATGCTAAGTATTACCTCTTTTCCCTACCAACATCCCCCAAAGTCACAACCCATTACAGCATGAACTCTAAGTCTAAATTATTATCAGCTCAAAGGTCCAATCTTATCATCTCAGTCATCTGACTCTGGTATGGCTGAGACTCTGGAATTCATCCTGGGGCGAAATTCCTGTGCCTCTGTGGAGCTATGAAACTACAATAAAACTTACCTTCTGCCAAAATACAGTAGTAGGATGTGCATAGGATAGACATTTCAAAAGGGAGAAGTGGAAAAGAATAAAGGAGTCACTGGTTTCAAACATGTTTAAAATCTAGCAGGGCAAATTCCATTGTGTTTCAAGGCCAGAGTTTCCCATCTGGCTTGAGGCGCTGCCCTCCTGGACTGTGGCTTCATTTTCTGGGCCTATGGCTCTGCCCATTCCTGCCTTTGTACACACAGCTTAGGCCTTCTAAGCGCACATCTCTGCCCTTGGAGTCATTCATACATTTTATTGGGTAGCACAGGTTTGCACCTAGGTAGCTCTACCAGCCTGTTTCCTGCTTGTAGAGTTTTGTAAGTGCAGCACCCACTGCCGCCGCCTTCTCCTCCTCCTCCCCCCCTCCTCCCCCTCCTCCTCCCCCCTCCTCCCCCTCCTCCTCCTCCTTCTTCTTCCTTTCTTCCTCTTCCTCTTCCTCTCCTTCTCCTTCTCCTCCTCCTCCTCCTTCTTCTTCCTCCTCCTCCTTCTCCTCTTTTAAATCATGCCTTTGTGCCTTTCAGTCCAAGATGGCAGTGTTTCTGCAGATACTACATTCTCAAAAACCTTGTGTATCTCCTGTGTGTGTCATGGGAATCCATGCCATCAAACAAGAGGACACTCCACAGATCTTTCTTGGATTTCCCTGTCTATTCCTGGCTTCTGCTGATTGAGTGGATTCATGAAACACATGCCTAATGTCTTCAGCAGAATGTTGTCAAGCTATACTCTTGGCTTTCAGAGCACATTTTCCTAGCCATGAAACTCCTCATAGTAGCATCTTTTTCTCCTTGGTAGGATATTCAAATACCAGAAGATCCAAAGGAAGTATTATTTAATGGTAAAATTAGAAGCACTCTGAATGGCAGTAAGGGAGATATTTGAGGTCAGGGAGAAATTTTGAAAAACTTCATATCATAAATTTTGAAATCATTTGAAATCATTTCCACCATTTAGCCATGATGGAATGATAGGAATTGAATTAAACCTCTGTGTCAGTTAAGATTCGACCAGAGAAACAGGATCAGTAGGGCATTAAAGAGGTTTACATGATTACATTGGCATACATGATTCTGGGGGCTGGCTAGGCTACTCTGAAATCAGTAGGGCTGGCCAGAAGGAATGTCCAGGAGGAAACTCTCAGGCAGGAGCTCTTGCTTCAATCTATAGGATCAGAATAGTCACATTAGCAGAATGAACCCCAAGATTACCCAGAGGTAGTAAATTATAAAAATTATTTTATTTATAAAATAAATTTTCAATTTTGGAATCATTTTAGGGTTACAGAAAAGTTGGGAAGATAATATAGAAAGTTTCTATATATTCCATATCAATTTTCTCCTTTTTTATACTTCAAAAAATTGAGATTAAAATATACATATAAAATTTACCATCTTTACCATTTTTAAGTGTACAGTTCAGTGGTAATAAATACATTTATATTCATTTTCTTCCCCTTCATTGCCCCCTGCCCCACACTTCCTGGCCTCTGATAACTGCCATTCTACTTTTTTTTTTTTTTTTTTTGAGATGGAGTCTCGCTCTGTCGCCCAGGCTGGAGTGCAGTGGCCGGATCTCAGCTCACTGCAAGCTCCGCCTCCCAGGTTTACGCCATTCTCCTGCCTCAGCCTCCCGAGTAGCTGGGACTACAGTTACCCACTACTGCGCTCAGCTAATTTTTTGTATTTTTTAGTAGAGACGGGGTTTCACCATGTTAGCCAGGATGGTCTCGATCTCCTGACCTCGTGATCCACCCGTCTTGGCCTCCCAAAGTGCTGGGCCATTCTACTTTCTATCTTCATGAGACCCACTGTTTTTTTTTTTTTCACATCAGATGGGTAATGTGCTGACGTTGTAACGAGACTTAAGGGAGGCACATCTCACACAGCAGTGTGAAAACCCAATCATCATGCTTATGAACTGCAAAAGGATCAAAGATCCACTTTTGTAGTTCCCACCTAGGAGTGAGATCATGCAACATTTCACTGTGCCTGGCTTATTTCTCTTAACATAGTGGCCTCCAGTTTCAGCTATGTTGCTGCAAATGACAGGATTTCATTCTTTTTTTAATAGCTGAATATTTCATTGCTGTATATACCATATATGCTTTATTCTTTCATCTGTTGATGAACACTTAGAGTGATTCCATATTTTGGCTGTTGTGAACAGTGCTGCAGCAAACATGGAAGTACAGATATCCCTTAGATGCATTGATTTTCTTTCTTTTGGCTATATACATGGTAGTAGAATTGCTGGATCATATGGTAATTCTATTTTTAGTTTTCTGAGGAACCTCCATACTGTGCTCCATAAGTGGCTGCACTAATTTACGTTTCCACCAGCAGTGTGCAAGGGTCTCTTTTCTCCACATTCTCACCAGCATCTTTTATTGATTGTCCTTTTGACACAAGCCGTTTTTACTAGGGTGAGATGGTATCTCATTGTGGTTTTGATTTGTGTTTCTCTGATGACTAGTGATGTTGAGCATTTTTTTTCATATACCTATTGGCTATTTGTATGTCTTCTTTTGAGAAATATGTGTTCAGACCTTTGCCTATTTTAAATTTTCTTATTTTTTCTTTTGTTTCTAATTGGGTTGGATTTTGCCCATTTTAAAATCAGATTATTTGGGGGTTTTTGCTGTTGAGTTACTTGAGCTCTTTATATATTGTAGTTACAAATTCTTTGTCAGATGAATAGTTTGCAAATATTTCCTCCCATTTTGTGGGTTGTTTCTTCACTTTGTTGATTATTTCTTTTGCTGTGTAGAAGCTTGTTCGCTTCAGGTAATCTCATTTGTCTATTTTGCTTTGGTTGTCTGTGTTTTGAGGTTTTACACAAAAAGGCTTTGCCCAGACCAGTGTCCTGGACTATTTCCCCAAAATTTTCTTTTAGTAGTTTCATAGTTTGAGGTCTTAGATTTATGTTTTTAATCCATTTTTGTTTGATTTTTGTTGTGGTGAGAGATAGAGGTCTAGTTTCATTATTCTGCATAACTATCCAGTTATTACAGCACCACTTATTGAAAAGACTGTTCTTTCACCTTTTTATGTTCTTGGCATCTTTGTCAAAGATGAATTGGCTGTAAATGTATGGATTTGTGTTTAGTTTCTCTAGACCGTTCCATTGGTCTATGTATCTATTTTTATGCCAGCACCATGCTGTTTTGATTATTATAGACGTGTAGTAAATTTTGAAGTCAGGAAGTGTGATGCCTTCAGTTCCTTTGGCTCAGGATTGCTTTGGCTATTTGTGGTCTTTTGTGGTTCCATATAAATGTTAAGTTTTTTTTTCCTATTTCTGTAAAGAATGTCATTGGAATTTTGATAGGGATTGCATTGAATCTGTAAACTACTTTGGATAGTATTGTGGTTTTAACAGTATTCTTCTGATCCATAAGCATGGAATATCTTTCCATTTTTTGTGCCTTCTTCAATTTCTTTCATATTTCATAGTTTTTATAGATCTTTCACTTCTTTAGTTAGATTGAGACCTAGGAGTTTTATATTTTTGTAGCTGTTACAAATGGGATTGATTGCTTTCTGGATTTTTCAGATTGTTCTCTGTTGATGTATATAAATGCTAATGATTTTTATATGTTGATTTTGTAACTTGCAACTTGACTGAATTCACTGATCAGCTCTAACAATTTTTTGGTGAGTTCTGTAACCTTTTCTGGGTTAAGATCATGTTGTATGCAAACAAGGCTAATTTGAATTCTTCCTTTCCAATTTGGTTGCCCTTTATTTCTTTCTCTTGCCTAATTACTCTGGCCAGGACTGGCAGTATTACACTGAGTAACAGTAGTGAGACTGGGCATCCTTGTCTTGTTCTAGTCTTCAGAGGAAAAACCTTCATTTTTTTCCCTGTTCAGTATGATGGTAGCTGTGGATTTGTCATAAATGGTTTTATTATTTTGAAGTATGTTGCTTCTATACCCGTTTTGATGAGGGGTTTTTTCTTATCATAAAGGATGTTGAATTTTGTAAAATACTTTTTCAGTATCTATTGAAATATGTGGTTTTTGTTCTTGATTCTGTTAATATGCTATATCATATTTATTCATTTGCTTATGCTGAACCATCCTTGCATCCCTGGAATGAATCCCATTTGATCATTATAAATGATCTTTTTAGTGTGTTGTTGAATTCTGTTCACTAGTATTTTGTTGAGGATTTTCACATGGATGTTCATCAGGGATATTGGCCTGTAGTTTTCTTTTCTTGTTGTCGTGTCCTTATCTGATTTTAGTATCAAGGTAATGCTGGCCTTGTAGGATGAGTTTGGAAGTATGTCCTCCTCTTCAATTTTTTTGAAGAGTTTAAGTACAATTGGTATTAATTCTTCTTTACATGTTTGGTAGAATTTGGCAGTGAAGTTGTCAAGTCCTGGGCTTTTTTTGCTTTTTATGGAGGTTTTTTATTATAGCTTCAGTTTTGTTACTTTTTATTGGTTTGTTGAGGTTTTCTATTTCTTCATGATTCAATCTTGGAGGTTGTATGTTTCCAGAAATTTATCCATTTCGTCTAGGTTTTCCAATTTGTTGGAGTATAATTGTTCACAGTAGTCTCTAATGATTTTTTTGTGTTTCTGAGGTCTCAGTTGTTATGTGTCCTTTCTTTGTTTCTGATTTTATTTATTTAGGTCTTCTCTCTTTTTTCTTAGTCTAGCTCAAGGCTTGTTGATTTTGTTTACATTTTGGAAACCAATGTTTTGTTCTATTGATCTGTATTTCTTTTTAGCTTCAATTTCATTAGTTTCTCCTCTGATCTTTATTATTTCTGTCCTTCTACTATTTTTGGCTTTGGTTTGTTCTTGCTTCTAGTTCCTTGAGGTATATTCGTTAGGTTGTTTATTTGAAGCTTTTCATTTTTCTCATGTGGCATTTATTGCTATAAACTTGCCTCTTAGTACTGCTTTTGCTGTATTCCATAGGTTTTGGTATATTGGATTTTTTTTTTTTTTTGAAATCGAGTCTCGCTCTCTTGCCCAGACTGGAGTGCAATGGCACAATCTTGAGTCACTGCAGGCTCTATCTCCTGAGTTCAAGTGATTCTCCTGCCTCAGCCTCCAGAGTAACTGGGAGTACAGGTACCCACCACCACTCCTGGCTAATTTTTGTATTTTTAGTAGAGACGGAATTTCACCATGTTGGCCAGGCTGGTCTCGAACTTCTGACCGCAAGTGATCTGCCCCCTCAGCCTCCCAAAGTGCTGGGATTACAGGCATGAGCCACCATGCCTGGCCTGTATATTGCATTTCCATTTTTCCATTTTCATTTGTTTCAAGACATTTTAAAATTTCTTTCTTTATTTCTTCATTGACCCATTGGTCACTCAGGAGCATGTTTTTTAATTTCTATGTGTTTATATATTTTCCCCAGTTCTTCTTGTTAAGTTCTAGTTTTAGTCCATTGTGGCCAGAAAAGATACTTGATATGATTTTTATTTTAAAAGTTTTGTTCAGATTTGTTTTATGACCTCAGATATGGTCTCTTCTAGAGAATGTCCCATGTGCTGGTAAAGAAAATGTGTGCTGCAGCAGTTGGATAAAATGTTCTCTAAACATCAGTTAGGCTTGTTGGATCTAGTATGTAGTTTAACTCTGCTGTTTCATTGTTGATTTTATGTTTGAATGATCTGTGCGTTACTGGAATAGGGTCTCCTTCTTTTATTGTATTACAGTCCATCTCTGTTTTAGTTCTATTAATATTTTCTTTATAGACTTGAGATATCCAGTATTGGTTGAATATTTATAATTGTTACATATGCTTGCTTAATTGGCCCCTTTATCATTGTATAGTGCCCTTCTCTGCTCTTTTTATAATCTTAGATTGTCTATTTTCTCATATAAGTATAGCTATTCCTGCTCTCTTTTGGTTTCCAGATACGTGGAGTATCTTTTCTCACCCCTTCACTTTCAGTCTATGTGTGTCTTTATGGGTGAAGTGGATTTCTTGAAGGCAACATAAAATTTGGTCTTGTTTCTTTATCCATTCAGCCTAGTCTGTACCTTTTAGTTGGATAATTGAGACCATTTACATTCAGTGTTATTATTAATAAGTAAGAAGTTACTACTGCCATTCTTTTGCTTGTTTTCTGGTTGTTTCTTTCTTAGTGCCTTCCTTTGTGGATAAGTTATTTTCTCTGGTAGTATGCTGTTAATTTCTTGCTATTTCTTTTTAGTGAGTCTGTTACAGGATTTTGTGTTACAAGTTTTTGTGTTGTGGTTACCAGGAGGCTTACAGAAACATCTTATAATAGATATAAAAAGTTATTTTAAAGAGACCACAACTTATCTTAGATCACAAATAGAAGAGTAGAAACAAAGGCAGGCAAAAGAACATGTAAAAAGAATTTATACTTTTACTCGATCACCCAGCGTCTTTTTTTGTTTGTTTGTTTTTGAGAAAAGTCTTACTCTGTTGCCCAGTGGCACGATCTCAGCTCATTGCAACCTCCATCTCCTGGGTTCAAATGATTCTCCTGCCTCAGCCTCCTGAGTAGCTGGGATTACAGACATGTGCCACCATGCCTAGAGACAGGGTTTTACCACGTTGGCCACGCTGGTCTTGATCTCCTGACCACAAATGATCTGCCCTCCAAAAGTGCTGGGATTACAGGTGTGAGATACCATGCCTGGTACCCCCAGCATCTTGACTTTGGTTGTATCAGTTTATATTTTTTGTATCATCTATGTCTTAACAGGTTGCTAATAGCGATTTTTTTTTGATAGATTTGTCTTTTGGGTTTCATACTAGAGTTATGAGCAGATTGCACACCACCATTTCAGTTATAGAGTAGTTTGTGTTTCACCACGTACTTTTTACCAGTGAGTTTTATACCTTGAAAAGCTTTCTTTTTGCACATCAGAGTTTTCTTGGTTCAGATTGAATTATTCTTGTTAGCATTTCTTGTTAGGTGGGTCTGGTG